TACTGGGGAGGTGGGGGAGGGGGGAAGGGGGGGCAATTGGGTGTTTGTGTCCTTGTCAGGATTAGGGAGTGACCAGTGTTGAACTGTGAAGGTTATTTTAGAGGCTGAACCTATGAATTTAATGCCCATCTCCCACAGGACCGAGCCGAATGGGAAGCGGAGAATTCTCCATCTAAGCACTACTCTACAGTCTACAAATGCAACATGTTTCTTAGTACAGTGATCGACCGTTCATAATGCAATAGTGCCTTCTCTCTGCATCTGCAGCTACATGGGCATGTCATTAGCTCAGTTGGAAAAATGCTGAGTTATGATGCTAATGACCGTGGTTCGAATCCCCAATGGAACTGTATTGAAATGTTGAAGGGAGTTTCCCCAAGGCTCTCCATCGACTTGGCTTGGTCTTATCAGAGATGGAAGTTAAAATCGCGAGTCCTGGCTCTTTAATAATCTTTCTATGTCAAGCAGGGTGTGTACCCTCCCATACAATATATTACAGCTATTCATATGACTATCTTTTCATATTCTACCTTATATGACGTTTGATAACAAGTATTCTGTCCGTGATAATGTAACATTGCCCCCTACTTCTTGAGGCTGTTATTGCGTTTGCTGGTACATCCGAGAATTCTTAATCACGTCTTTTATATTGCAGGGTACTACGTGGTCATCATGTTGCTGTTTATTGCCATTGTCATTATTGGAGTGGTGCCTTATAATGGAAAGCCCTAGTCCTTGGATAGATATATTTACACAGGTGAGTCAGATAAATCAGAACTCTCTGAGTCTTTCAAAACTTTTAACTGTTGTTCCTGAAATGTTTTGTGCTGGCAGAGGGTTTCTGCTTCTTTTGTTTCATTCTGAATGTGTTTTTCTGTCTCATTCTTTCCCGGCTCTAAATGACCATTTTGGTGTCGATGTACTTCCCTTTACCCAAACACTTTGTGTTGTGGTTTGTTCCATAAACATTTTGTGTTGTAAAGTGTACATGTACATATCTTAGGAATGTTTTGTTCTGTGGTTGTATTGGAATGTGCTCTAGTGTTGTTTGCTTCTTCTTTCCTATCAAACATCTATCGTTCTTATCTCTTCTTGTTTTATGAAATTCGTATGTTACTGTCTAGTAACACTTCTAATCCTTAGCACTTATGTGACCTATTTATGTTGCAAGTGCTCTAAAACTTACTAAAATGTAGATGTTTTGTGATGAAGTTTTTCAAGAGAAACGTGTCATATTGTGATTGTTCTGCGAATTTTTCATGTTGTGCCTGTTTTTTAAAAAAAATTTCTTTCTGAGGCTGCTCTTTTATCGTTTTGTGTTGTGGATGTTTCTGAAACGTTTTATGTTACGAGTTGTGTTCTGTGGGAGTTTGTAGATCCTGATCTGTGGGTGGTTGGAGAGCAGTTTCTTCTTTTCTTTCCCGCTCTTGTTTCTGTCTGTCTTTTTTACTTTTTACTAACAATAAATCGTTGACTGCTTGCAAGACTCGACAAACACCCTTTCGCAATATGGCATTTGTTAGTCTTGCACCCGGCCGTGGAAATGATCAACATTATTGTGTTAATGTGGTTCACTTTACTTAAACTCAAACTAAAGTAGTGGGTGGTTAGCGGTTTCTCTGATGTGTTTTGCTCCTTCTTTCCTATCAAACATTCATCTTCCTTATCTCTCATCCCCCTTTTTTGTGTTTGTTACTCTCTTGTAACACCTCAAATCTTCAGCACTTATATGACTTGATTATTTTGAGAAAGAGAGAGGGGGGGGGGTATGGTATGCGTTTGTGTTAGTGCATGCGGTCAAATGCTGTTAAATTCTTACTAAAACATAAAACAACCCCCCCCAACAAAAAACAGACCCCTCAAAACTAAA